AGGATCATGTTATGCTGTAATTTACATTTTCAAAATATCACTTTGGCTGCTATGTGAAGAATGAATTGCAATGGGGCAAGAGTGGAAGAAAGATTGAGAGAAAAGCAAATGACTTTTTTAAATAAATAATTGTCTTCTGTCTTCTGTCCTCCAACAAGTGTGACAATGTAGGAAAGTGATGGTGTCACAATGGCTGGCTATTGAAGTAAGAGAATTAATTCCTGCTTTCCTGCACACTTGCCTGACTGCCAACATTCTCTGCTTAGGCATCTCCCTATGTGATATTGAGATTTTGCCTCACTTGTCATTCTGACAAGAAAGTTTGGCCTTTCTACAGGATCAGGAGAAAAACTAGTCCTTTCAGATCTGCTTGAGCCCGTTAAAACTTCATCCTCATTGGCCATTGTGAAAAAGCAACTGCATAGAGTCAAATCAAAGAAGACTGTGGAGTTACCCCTTAACAAAGAAGAGGTTGAGCGGGTGAGTTATAGAGAAAGTAGTCCATTAAGGGCAAGAAATTGAACTGACAAAGAAACAGGATAAGAAGAGAAGGAGGGGGAAAGCCTGAAAAATGGGAGGAGTAAGTTGTGATTGCCTCACCATGGAAAAGATTAAAACTAATCTTGGGGAAAGTGCAGTCCTGAGAAGTAAGCAAGAGATAATCTTTAGCATTCGGATTCTTTCTTGGGCTAAAAACATTGCTTCCTTATTTCCTGCTAGTCCTTTGAGTTTGATGCCTAATTTCGTGGCTCTTTCCTTTTGTGTACCTTGCCTGTTTAAGATCCACAGAGAAGTGGCGTTCAGTAAAACCTCACAGGCCCTCTCCAAATGGGATCCCATTGTTCTGAAGAACCGGCAAGCAGAGCAGCTGGTTTTTCCCCTGAGGAAGGAGCAGTCAGCCTTTGCTCCCATTGAACATGTGCTCAGCGGCTGGAAGGTAAGTGCACTAGGAGAAAACTGCCCCTTGGAAGGTGAGATTGCACAGTGTGGAGATAGCAGGGTCTGCAGTTGATTTGGTTGGATGCGTTAAACTGAAATAAATTTTAGCTGCAGTCGTTATAATTTATCAGTCAGGGAGAGAAGGAGGGTGGCAAGATTCATTGTCAGTCATGCAGTAGCCAACCAGGCTCTAGTCATCCTTCATTAGTACATGGTTATTTCTGTGTTTTTGTGTTAAAGCATTTGATTGCCAGTAGATAGGGAACATAATGATGTTTTCTTTTTCACACCCCAGTTTTTTAAAAGCTTTTAAAGCCACATTCTGATCTGGAGAAAATCAGGAGCTCGGCGACATTACTGATGCCTTAGTAAGGATTTATGAGCAGTAGAATCAAAGTTTGCTTGTAAAGAAATACTACATTAAAATATAACATATTGTTGATAATGACTGGAATCTTAGCAAGTAATTCATTATGACTGAGCTGCAGAAAATAAATAAGATACTTTAGAGCTGGGTTTCCCAAACACTGATCCCGGCAAATTTTTCATCTGTCTGAAGCAAAAGAATGATTGTGAGTATGATGGGTATAAGGCTGCCAGCTCTTCTTTATTATGAGGTTATTCTTTCCACTTTAATAGTGTTTAAATAGCTTTTCTTTTATGAAATGATGGTGGTACCAAAGTATGGGGTTGAGGGTAGAATGATAGTTATGCCCTTGGCTAAATTAGAAGTTGATATTCCTACATCAGCCCCTAAAGTCTCAATTTTTTTTTTAAGTCTGTGAATGACTGCTTCAGAACAGCTAGCCTTTCTTTTCCAATACACTATTGGTTATAGAGTCTGTAATGGGATGTTCTGTCTTAAGTAGAAAAATAGGCAAGAACACCAGTTCCCAAACCATGGATAGATGGCCCTCTTTATGCTTTTCTCCTGCTTTCTAAAAATCCAGGAATGATAAGTGTCCTGTGTGTCAGGGACTTGAAATAATTAAAGCTAATCAAAATAAACATGTTTTGTTGCCATAGCTAGAAATTGAGCAAGTGGTTGCTTATTGCGGGGATAAGCTCTGTTTCTGCCATTCTCTTTCTAGGATGCTTCCTTTTCCACATGAAAATGAGATCAGGTTTAAAGTGTGGCTGCAGGATGGAAGGGAGACTTTAGGAAAAAAATTTAAGAGGTAATACAACTTGTAGGATTCAAAAATAAGAGTATAGAAGATATACAGTGAAAAGTCTGACCCCACCCCTGTTCCCCATCTGCTCATTTTTACCCCATACTCACCCAGAAGTAGCCACTTCTATAAGTTTTTTGTTATTGTTAACTTAAGAGTTTTACTGATATATTCATGTTTACCTTGTATTTATCAAAAATAGTCATGAGCTACTACACACTCTTCTGCACCTTGCTTTTTCCAAATGACAATGTAATTTTGGAGAGCACAGGAAAATGCCAAGTTGGGTATTAAAGGTGAGATGGTAGGGGAAAAGGTTGCATTAAGAATGGCACAACCTCTACTCTCCAGGAACTCCTCATGCAGGACAGAGTGGCCCAGAGGCTATACATTGAATCTACTGGACCATTCATGCTAAGAGTCATTTAAGAGAAATTATGCCAGTGTGGCACAGAGAAATAAGGAAATGCTTAGGTCAGAGAGTTCTTTCTGGCTAGCAACTCACAGTTCTCTTCTTACAACTTAAAGAGTGCAAAGTACCGAGGACTAGTAATATACTAGTATTTCTGGAGATTAAGAATCCAAAAAGCTTCCTAAAGTTCCATTGGACTCTAGCTGAGAAGAATTAAATGGGATAATGCATGCAAAAGCATTTGTAAACTGCAAAGTGCTAGTAATGATGTAGGGTAAATTTTCCCATCCCCTCTCTCCTTCCCTCCACTAGCAGCCTACACTAGCATTTCCCAAAGTGTTTGCCTCAAAACTATAGTTTTTCACTATGCCGTCAAAATAGATGGTGGTAGGGTCCCATTACTAGAAAATGCTGCCTGCCCCTACTGGAGATTGGCATTTCACAATATATACTAACTAGCCTTTTAAGGGCTATGAAAAGATAGTAAAGAAACCTCTTTGACTTACTCTAACCCAGAGTGTACAAACTGATGTTATTAAAAATCAAATAAATCAAATTTTTTTAACTTTTTTTTAAAAATGAAGTAAATCTTGTTAGCTGATGGGGAACATGCTTTGGTAAGAGCTGGTCTCTACTGCTATCTGCGTTCTTTCAC